ATATAAAATTATATTATGAGATGAATCTAACAAGATAAACCCCACCATATGACATAATAATGTTTTCTTAACGATAAATCATAATATGTGATCAAACATATGTTGTGATGACTGGAAATTTTATATACATCATAGTGTAAGGTGCACCTAAGGTGTTTTCTGGTCATTTAACATTTTTTGCTTATTTATTATATTAAATGAGCGCGCACACACACACACGCAAAAAAAAAAAATGTTATAAAAATACTATAGATGCACCTATCTCTATGTTCATCCGGGTGTATGTAAAAGATTCTATGTGATGACTAGTGTAAAATTCCAATCATTGTAGTATTACTAGAACAAAACGGAGGAAGCATATACAAAAAAACAAATGTAATTGTGTGCTATAGAATGGAAGGATTAGTCACATACTCACATATTATCAATTTCAAGTAATTTTTGCTAACTAGGGCTAGACATGGCAATCCAAATGATCCGACCCACAACCCGAAATCATTGACCCGAAAATGACCCAAATCTGAACTAATTCGAACCCGACCCGAAGTGGAGTTGACTGGAACGTGACCTGATGCTCAAAATGACCCAAAATTCAAAGTTGGCCCGACCTAAAGTGACTCAATCTGATTTTAACCCGAATTGATTGACCCGAACTGACACGACCCGAATTGATCCCACCCAAAGTCACACGATACCTAAAGTGAGTAAGATTAAATGGCGAATTATTGATTCTAGGGCTTCTTACTTTCTCAAGTAATAGGTACTTGTGTTTTTTTTTTCTTTTTTAAACCGAGTCTAATTTATTTCTAATTATTATAAAAGTTATTATTCAAATAAAGAAAATTTTCCCATAATTTTTTTAAGGGAATTTATTTTTAGTGATATGATCAAAAATTGACCCAAAAACTGGTCCTAAAAACTGACCCGACCTAAATTGACCCACCCTAGACTCAACCTGAAGTGTTGACCCGAAACCCGAATGACCTGACCCGAACTCGACTTGAATATTTGCTAACCTGAAATCTACCCAACCCAAACCCGACCTAAACTACCTATTTGCTAGGTCTAACTAAAGTTGTTAACGCTCGCGATGCGCGCACCATAGCTAGCCATGTCCATTGAGCTTTTTCGATTTGACCTTATGGCACTTATTCAGTTGTTGTCAAAATTAATGAGGGAAAATATGTATAAATATATTTGGGGATAGTTAATGTCCGTATACTATTCTTTAAGTGTTAAAAAATGGACAACTAACATCAAGATATAAGGGAAAATAAGTAAATAAACATTTTAAAAGGCATAATTGTCCAAACACTATTCATAAGAATTATCTCAAACGTTTAAAAAGGTTGGGATATAATTTTAGAAAAAAAAATTGATGGTTAAAATTGTGTGATATGCATGTGTGGTATTGAACACTTTAGTAGTATGTTGATAAGTTTTGTATCGTACGTGTTTTTAGAGTCTTTGTAGCTAGTTTTTGAGTCTAGTTTTGTTGTTCCTAGCTTATTTTAGCTCTTCATTTTTGTTTATTTGTGGTCATGAGATCCTTTTATGGAGTTTCATTATTTTTGATGTATTCAAGATCATCAAGGCTAATTCCGTGAATTTTTGAGGTCACACAACTAAGATGAGGCTCATGAACCTTCACGAATCTTATTAATCGAAGTTTGAGTCATTTAGAGCCAATTTCTAGGTAGGAACGTTCATGCCATAATGCAAGGCATGGATGTGTTAGATTGAGATGAAGATTAAAAAAGCCACTATTTTGAAGTTTATAGGTAGGCACGTCCGTGCCCATTCTTGAAGCCTAACCATTGTTTTGAAGCGTCGGTGGAGGCACGTCCGATCCGTGCCTCGCAGAGAAAATTCAAAAGAAAGTTACTGCCCTCTATTTGCAAAAGAGGCACGGCCGTGCCATAGTGAAGAAGGTTTTGCGAAGCTCGCTCGGAAAAGGCATGTCGGTGCTTGGACGCGTGCTATGACGGTTTTGGCCTTTTTCTATCTTGTTTTTGTTTGCTCTGTTACGTTTTTTTTGGTTTTTTTTTTTTTTAAATAATATTGTTGTTTCATTATTTTTCTATGAAGTTTTAGCTCTAATGTTCTCTCTAGACTTTTAATTTCATTGTAAGAAATAGAAGTTTTTGTACTTAAGATTCAACGTGTAATTCTCATAATCTTTTAATTGTTAAATATGTTTTCTTTAATTACCGTTTTTTTTTAGGTATTATGAGAGGATAATTTTCTTATTCCGACATGTAGCCGAATCTGAATGTATGTGATTGATGCATGTGTTAATTCTTTAAATTCTCTATAATAATTGCAATTGATGTGCTTAATTGATTGTGCTTAATTGATTGTTCTTATGTTGATACTAGCTTGGGGATACTTATTAGGAAAAGTTGTTAAAAATAAGCAAACCTTTGTTCGGTCTTCCCAAAATAAGAGAACCTATTGATTAACTCAAAATAAGTCAACCTTTATAGCTTAACTTCCGGAAATGAGTAATGACCGGTTAGCTTTAAGTTTAACCTGTCGTGTTGGTTGATAATGCTACTTGTTACAACATGATTGGTTCATTTTAAAATTTTAATCCTTCAATTATAAAAATAAAAAAAAAATAAAAAAAAAATAAAAAAAAAACCCCACCGCAAGAGCTCTCGGGAGGCCGCCACCACCATCTCTCCTTCTCCTTCCCCCAACAACAGCCCACCACCACCGTCACCAGCAGTCCACTAATATCAACCTCTGCTCCTTAATCTGCCACCAGTCCCTAATTCACAACATCACCAATTACCACCACCCCTCAAATCCATAACCACCGACTGCCTTCTAACTCCACAACAAACAATAGCCCTTAAATCGCCACCAATGCCCAGCCTACACTGCAGCAACACCGACAACAACCAAAACTACCCACAGCGGCGCCTAATTGTCCTCCATTAGCCCACAAATCACATCTTTCAATCGTGCCTAACATCGAGCCACCAACCTCCACTATCATTTGCATAACCAACAACAGCAATTCTTCTAATCGCCACCTCTAAACTGTTGGAATCAATAAAATCACACTCCTACTATCGACAACAACACTGATTAGACAACGATAGCAACAAAACGCCTTAATTTCAACCACAATTTGAAACCCAATTAAGCGTGGGTAAGTGGTTCAGGCAAGTGCGTTGGGGGAAGGGGGCGCCGGTGGGGGAGAGCTGCGGTGGGGGGGGGGAAGGGGGCACCGTCGGGGGAGTGGACGATGGCTGGTGTGCAGTGGTGTGGTGGTGTTGTAGCTAGCACTCTCGTAGGGCCACCGTAGGGGATGGGGGTAGGAGTGGCGGGGGCACATCTATAGTGGGGGTAGGTTTTTTTTTTTTTTTTTTTTTTTTTTTTTTTTTTTGTTTTAATAACTGAAATAATAACTTTTTCTTAAAATTTAAAGTGACCTGTTGAGAAGGTTGTAGGTCATCTGACCTAGTTAAAGAAAATACCCTTTAAAAGTCAACTTATTTTGAGTTAATTAATAGGTTTTCTTATTTCAGGAAATCCGAGTAAATGTTTGCTTATTTTTGACAAATTTTCCTAGTTATTATTGCTATTTAATCCATTATTATAATCACAACGAGAGTTAGGTTTTAACGAGTTTGAATAGATCAATTAAGGGTTTGAAATTTTTCATGAAAGTAGTTGAATATATGATTAGGAAGCTAAGTAATATGCTAATGTCTTTAATTTGCATAATTCCATAGAAATAGGTTTAAATTAGGGAATCCAATGATCACTCAGAAGAGACCTTTCATACTATCTAGGTATTGTTTTTTCTCTGGTTAATTGAATTATAAGTTAGGTAGAACAGCTATTGCATTGATAATATTCGTTTGGATGTTTTTATTATTTGATTTCTCTTATTATTACTTAGATTAATTGCGTTAATTATTTAATTAATTAGCTTATAATTCTCAATATTTTATTTGGTTACTTGTTTAGTAATTGCTTGAATATAATAATTTAGGTAATGAATAGTTTCTTGTGATCCGACCCTTACTTGCATGTCTACAAAGTTAGTAAGTTTAGTTTGGTTTATTTGTCATAGGTACACGACATAATGTCACTCCCTCTATTTCGTAATAATCATGTGTCGAATTATGTTAGGTTTATTATCATACCATATATGTGTGAAATTTTGTCACTACCTCTATATTATGTTAGGTTTATCGTCATATTAAGTGTGAATTTATGTCACTCTTTATTTTGTAATAATCGCAACACTAGGTTATGCACAAAATATTAGGAAAAGTATAAGGTGGGACAAAAAAGAGAGTATTTTTTTTTAATATAATATAAAGTATAACACAAAGTTAATGTAAGGCAAGCCTCACCCAATACTTTGGTGAGACGAGAAGCTAATCACGATCGAAGTTTCTACAATTCAACAGCTTTTCCTACGGAGTAACAAATCATTTAACTTGGCGCTTATTTCAAGCAGAATTTCTCTAATTAATTCAGCTAAAATAAATCAACAAATTAATCACGCCAATTGTCGTCATCTTCTTCATTTACCAATTATCGTCATCTTCTTCATATGAACAATAAGTTTCCAAAAATTTCATAACAATGGCTGCCCAATGGCATCACATCACCACACGATTATACTCACCTTCCACTAGGCGAAAATTGCTAATCAGCACCGGTTCAAAACCCCCATTTCGCACCGGTTCTTGATGTGAACCGGTGCGAAAAAACTCCAAAAATTTAAAAAAAAAAACTTTTAGCACCGGTTCTTTCTTTGAACCGGTGCGAAAAGTGGCCAAAAAAAATTTAAAAAAAAACTTTTAGCACCGGTTCTGTTCCAAAACCGGTGCCAAAATGCCCAAAAAAAATGAAAAATAATTTTTTTTTTTTTTTTTTTTTTTTTGCATTTTTTCACTTAAATTGATATATAAACACTAACATATATATAAAGTTACATATTTTCATTAAAAAAGGCTGTAATATTTCAATTTTCGTCCAAAAAAAATTAAATAATCTAGACTTATCTCTGAGTACCTTTCTTGCATTTCATTTAACTAACGAGAAAACTAACAGATACATAAACTTATAGAACTTAAACTCAAAAATCTACTGCAACCATTGTCCAGAAAGTGGCAGCAAGTATTTATTAAAAGGTTCACTAGTAGTATTTTCAGGCAGTAGATATGACATGATATATATAAGTAATTAACAAACCTTGTTCAATAAAAATATAGCATACGCTGCTCTGGTGGCATCTTGCCCATCTAAAAAAAGGGGAAATTCCAAACACTTTGTATTTGCAGAGGCCAAGGCAGTTGAGGAAGATCCGGAAGATGTGGGATCAATTGAAGGTGCATAGTCTTTAATATACGAATGAGAACCACCAATGCACAAAGGATAATGCAAAGGGACATGTAAATATGTAGCTATGAGTGAGATAACCTGCAAAGGACCAACTCAACGTATGAATATCATCCAGTCATTGTTGCTGCTTTCTTCTTCTTTCTTTTTCTAAGTAATTAGGAGGACAGGGGAGGACTGTAAAGGGGGGTAAATGTTGCTCATGTGGATTTTCTTGCAAGTCAGCTGAGCTATTAAATATCTACGACTGGCTAAATAGAGTGCATGTTATAGACTCATAGATGAAAGCATGTGAAATATCATAAAAAATCTACGTATGAGCAAAAGCAATTAGCCTGAAGGCTAAACATATCAAAATTAATAGTTTACCCTAAAATAAGAACATACTATGAATACTCATGATAATAAACATTACATTACTCAAGGGACGAGAAAGTACACACATGGGCAACATATCCAAGAGCAGTTGTCGACCTCTGAACCTGCTTCTTATCAGTGAAAAAAGTTAACTGTGTAAAAGGAAGCATATTCAGCTCTACACCTGAAATAGTTAAGATCCCTTGGTTCCTTGATTTGTTCTCATCTAGAGTTCCACCAGGAGTCCCTACATATCGATAAATATTAAGCAGGGGGAAAAGATTATTTGTATGCTGTGGAGAAAATGAGTACATAGTAATAAAGAAGTTTCATAATGCATATTTATCGTAACAACATGCATAACGGTTTCCAACCACTATAAAGCTATCAAAATTAGAGACAAGGGTAGTCTGATTAAGGGTATAGGAAAATGCAAAAGCTAGTTTCATAAAACTGGACTGAGGACTTATCTAAAGAGTTACATAAAAGATTTTAATCAGCCCCTTCTTTATGGCACCAAACCTAATTCCGAATTTAAAAGAAAAATAACAGAACTCGAACATCTTCCTTGAATTGGCTAAGCATCCATCCCAAACCAGCAACAAGTTCAAAGTAGAAGCTGTAAAATAAAAATTATGAAGCAGCATCCAAGAATCTTATCAGGGACCAAATGTAATATGCATATATGATGTATTGACAATGTCAGAGCTATGAGGTCCAAGTTCCAAGTAAAAATTTATGATTTGATGCCTTGGATAAATACGGAGTATGAATATTCGCCTTTGGGCGTGAAGCTAGGTAAGGATAAAAATTGCTGATCTTAATAAAGATGGTACTGGATAAAGTACTCTAAAAAAATTTCAAAAGTGTTTCCAAAACAGCATCTTTCAATACCTGGACAACCTATTTGTTTTATAGAAGTTTCCAGCATTGCAGTATGTACTATAGATATTTCAGTGCAATATCTTCCTATGTTCCCATTAATTTATTTTTTTTCATCTACCATCAAATATAAGCTGTTCCACATTACCAAACAAACACAGGGAGGACTAGTTGCAGTGTTTTTCACAAACAAACAGATGGAGTACATCTTAGGAAGTTGAACTATCTATGTAATTCTATATTTTTAATCAAATGAACACTAAAGAAGGATCATTTTGTCAATTCAGCCATGTTCGGTCATCACCCAATTATTTGATATTGCTAAGATCCTTCACAGCTAGCCACTCACATATAGCACAAAACATTTAAGAAAAAGTTGATGAGATATCCACATTATCCTGAAGCAAACCAATTTCTGCCTTTACTAATTCGACTGATGAAATTAAGCAACGAAGTAAGCAGCAATTCAATCGATAAACAACAGATAAATTACTCACATGGCAAACTTCAGCTCGTTTCTCCTTACGCTCATACTCCTGCCTGATCTTCTTCTTCTCTGCTGCAACTAACTGCAATTTCTCAATGTTGAACTCCTATAATCCAAAAAAATCAATCAATTTCTCTCTCCAATCAAAAATCTAACCAAAATAATCAAAATTTCAAATCAAACAAAAAATTCTTCGATTAAAATTCAAAATCAACAAAAAATTTAAACAAAAATCAAGAGATTCGCTTACTTCTTCGGCAACAACAGAGATCTCGTTAGCCTAAGGAATTTACATCTTGCAGCAAACATGAAATAAGCTCTGCAATTTACAAGTACATAAGAAAATTAATGCTAAACTAGACAAGTCTGAGTGCAGAAACGAATATATAGTTTCATTGCAAAACCTTTAAACTTGCGTGTGGATTGTTCAGCAACATTCACATTAGGATCCTTTGGATTCTGTCTGGAAGGGCCTTGATTCATCTTTTCCTGAATTTCTCTGTTTGGATCAACCAAGACAAGCTAAAAAGAACAGAATTAGTAAGAATTGGACAAAGTAAACCTTCAACCAATAACCGATGAAGCATTGAGAAGATAAAAGTTTCTAATACATTGCTTTAGTTTTACAAGAAGCATGTCAAAAGATAATTAAGATGAAGAAGATAAAAATTAACATTGATTGTGCTCTCAAGTAATAAAGTGCAAACAACCAACAATCCTAGGATTATATTTCTTGATCTATAGCAAGCTAAAAGAATTACATTTCTTGAAACCAAAAGACACACATCAAATAATCAACAAAAATTGAACCACAACATCGATCCGAGAGGTGAAGCCACATTCGAGGAAGGGTTCTTCACCTAAGCCCCTAGAAGGCTAGAAGCTTCAATTCAAGAAGCCGTGGTCATGTGTTCGTGTTAGACCCTCAACACTCTATTATCATAGATATGGACATACACTTTGACACTTCAATCAAATTTTAAGGAATTACCTGAGTAATTAAGGTTTTGTCCAAACAGTAGACACTGCTCCACACCCTACTAAAATATTATTATCAGCATCAATCAAAAGCGAACATTTTCCCTAATAAATTATACCCACACTAATATTATTAAGCATAAATCATACAAATATAGACAAAATCCACACCATAAGTCATAGGTTTAAAAAAAAAAAAGACTTAATTTTTTTCTATGTTATACTTGACAAAAACCCACAAAAACTAATTTTTGTTTTTTACAGATTTCCACATGAATCACAACAGAAACACAACCCCATTTAAAACTACTTACAAAAATAAAACATGGGATTTCAGCATCATTCAACAAAATCACAACCCCATAATAAAGTAATTAAATAAAATATTTCAACACCAATCCATGAAATTTTCTGAAAATAAAATAAAAATGCAGTGTAAATTATTATACCTGAAGAAAGACAAGATTTTTCCCAAGCAAAGAATCCAAAGAACTAAACCTCTGAATGTGATTCTAGTAAAACAACCTCAGACAATTTCTAAATAGACAATAAGCTCAATTCCCACACACATAAACCAAATTAATGCAAACAATCAACTCATAAACCAACCCTAAATAAAGTAACACACACACATATACACCTTCAACAATGTAAACCTTCAATAATTATCCCATTCAACAAAACAAATCGAATTTACACTTACAATGTTTTGGAATCCAAATACGGCTTGTATTCAAACGGAACCATGGCTTCGCATCAACCAGAACAACGCCTTCAAACGCCCAAAAATTAAAATTCAACTATTTGATGGTTCACACACCAACCCTAATTGCATTCAAAATTTCAATTGTTCATCATTAATCAAAAAAAATAAAAAATCATGAAACCTAGATTTCAAACGCCCAAAAATAAAAAATAAAAAATAAAAAAAATTTCATAAAACCTAGATTTCAAATCGAAGAGCACATACCTCGAATTTGTGATCTTTGAATCGATAATTGATTCAAGTTTGTTGTTGTTGTTGTTGTTGTTGTTGTTGTTGTATTTGCTTTAAATTGACGGCGGCCGATATCGGACTTAGAAGGAGAAGGAGAGCGGCGTTGCTTGCGGCGCAGTTATGGAGAAGGAGATCAAAGGAGAGAGAAAAGTAAAGGGAAAGCGGCGGTTATGGAGAAGGAGATCGAAGGAGAGAGAAGGAGTTTGAGGCTCCATTGTTGTAGATGAGAGAGGAGGAGAGATCGAGGAAAGAGAAATACGTAAGACAGAAAGAGAAAGAAAGAAGACAAGGCTCGTTTTTTTTTTTTACAATAGCTTTCCCACCGGTTCGAACCGAACTGGTGCGATTAACTCATTTTTCGCACCAGTTTGGTTAGAACCGGTGCGAAAAGTCTTCCCCTCAATCCCGCCTATTATTTTTCGCACCGGTTTTTAAAAATCGGTGCGCATTTTGCGGTGCCTATTTCATTTTTTCTACTAGTGTTCTACCCCTCTTCAGTATAATCATTCCAGTCTATGGGTCGAGGAATTTATTTTTCTGGTTTTCGGTCTGGTCCGGTCCAAAACCCTATAAAAATCGGTCTTAGACCGGACTGACTTTTTTCTTAAAATTATACATAAAACCTTTAATAATGACTAACATTATCCTTAACAAGATTGGAAAACTTTAGTCGTATGAGCTATTTTGTACTAAGCATACAAAACAAGACGTTAAAATATTATTTTTCCTTTATTTATTTTGAGTTTCCACAATTTATTTAAAATATAGAATTTTTTATAAAAATTATAAAATCGGTCCAAACCGGTCTGGTTTGGGTTTTGGACCGATTTTGTCGGTCTGGTTCTGGTTCGGGTTCGGAACTAGCTTAATCGGTCCGGTCTTCAGTTCTTAAACTTAATTTGTTTGATCTTTGGTCCGGTCCGGTCTTGGACCGATGAACAACCCTAGTGGGCCCCACTAATTACCCCTTCTTCTATTTCCCTCCTTTTTCCTCTCTTCTCTCGATTTTCACTCCTCTATTCTTCTCTTTTATTCCAAATGTGTTTAATTTGGGGGAAAAAAAATTCAATCAGTTAGGTGTTAGTCAAATTAATGTTTTCATTTGTCATTATTCTTCCATCTAAACAACAATTATGCAAACCAGGAGAAAGATATGTGTAAATAGGGTTTATGAAATCAATTTGGGGTTATTAAATTAAAATCGGGGTGTATGAAATCAATTTGGGGGTCTTTAAAGTGAAATTAGGATTTATGAAGTCAATTTGGGGGTTTTTAAAGTGAAATTAGGATTTATGAAATCAATTTGGGGATTTGATTGTGGTGATAGTTTATTGCAAAATTAATTCTTAATTTATCAATTACTACTAAGTAAGAGTAAAATTAAGGTTGCAATTTGTGATTTTTTTGTTTTGCAAGGTACCATTTTCTATGTTTAAGTTCTACAAGGTACCAGTTATCTAGATATTTGATTGCTTTCGTGTTAAATTTCAGAACAAATTTCAAAAGCTTGGTCCCCCTCCAATGTTGTAGTTGTGCTTTGTTGTTGGTTGCCCCCCCCTCCCCTAACCCTCTGAGCAATTTTTACACAATAGTGATGAAAACTCAATTATGAAAAAGAAATAGGAGAGAGAGAGAGAGAACGATGAAGAATCTATCTATTTGGGAAATAAAATTAGTGGGTGAACTAGCTTAGTAATGATGGTTAAAGAAGAGAGAAAAAAGAATAGAAAAGAACAGAAGAATGAGATCGGATTAAGAGAATATAGGGGAAAAGAAGGGAAATTGAAGTGGGTGACGTCACAATTGAGGGGTTGGGAAAAGAGGTGGTAAAATTTAATGTTTTGAAGAATTGTTGGTGGTAAAATAAAATAAAAACAACTGTTAGTGGTTATTTCTAAAATGACAAAAATGGTAGGCGCTACTTATCAAATTTTCCATTATTTTATTTAAACTATATTTATATTTTATCAAAACTTATTTTATCTTATATGAACTTAGCTAAAATTATCTAATTTTATTTTATTTCGTTTGAACTTATTTTACTAGAATTTCCTAAACTTATTTTAATAAGATGAAACAAATAGACCTTTAGGTTAAAAACGGATTCAACTAAATCATTACCGTTGTCGAGTGTTTTGTTAGAAGGTTTTGTTATATTTAATCTTACCACTTTAAAATCTAAGCTAACAAGTACCGTTTCCCTCCATAAACAAATGAAAGGGAGTGAAGTTTAATTTATTCCTTTGCATGGTTAAATTAAACAAATGAAAAGGTAAGAGATTTATGATTCCTATCCCCCCTTCTTTGTTTCCATTCCATTACGTTTTCCAAACGCTCCTAAATACTTTAAAAATTAATAATGATTGAATCATACTTTCGTACATGGGGATGGTATGAATATGCTCGGCAATCATAGGAATGAAGTTGAATTTGACATTATAACGATTAGGGACAAAAAAGTAGAGAGTCGCCAACATGTTCTTTAAGGAACTTGAAATCGTTTGTGGATCATTTAAGGCAACCACAAAAAGGGACAAATCTAATGGCAACAACGATTAGATCCATGAAAGTTACACCTTGCCCGTTTATAATCGATGAGATTACTAACTCCATAGTATTTCTGAACCATAACTGGATTTTCGGGGATGATGGTACTAAATTGAGTTACTAAGTCAATTTCGCCCGTATTGGCCATTACTCGATTTTTATAGTGACATGTATTAAATTAATTGCAATACAAATATGATCCAAATCACTCTAGACTAATTAATCTATGTTGATTGAATATTTGATGCATGTCATATAAATCTAATTACTATGATCACGTGCTTCAATTAAGCAACAATATTTCCTAACCAGTTGTTCTAATGATCTTATTAGGCATGATTTTCAATTACAGGCCTTGATTAAAACATGCAATATTATTGGTGATCAAAACATATAGAATTAATCAAATAACAAGCATGCATAAATAAATTGGAAGCAACTTGATAAAAATTAGCTAGAGAACAAATTAACGCATCCTGAACATGATATTAATCAATTATTAATACAACCCTAGGCATGATACTAACAATTTAAATCAATCCTAAACATGGTACTTATAATTGAAATCAATCTAAAGATGATGCTAGCAAGGATTAAACGTAGTAGAAATAATTAAATTAAACGAATAATTAAATCTACTTATTTTGATTATGAAACCTTAAGTATTTTAACAAAATTAATAAATCAAAGTAAATTAATTGAAACAAAATAGAGTTTAGATTTTAAACCGTCAGGCTTTTTTCACCTTACACGCCATGGACCGTCGATAGAGTTTTAAGTAACGTAATGATGCTTAGGAGAACTTGACAGAGGAATTGTGGAATATTAAGAGATTAGGAAGATGAAAGATTAGATGATAGAGAATACAAGAGCAGTAAACGGTGCCCGTAACCTTGAAAATGGTTCGGTATTTATAGAGTTAAAAAATGCAGCATAAAAGATAACTTATTTAGAAGATTGGAGCGACACGCTGGAACTTGGCGCAATCCATCACAAATGTGGCACTTCACGTAGGAAACTAGATGCGTCGCTGCTTTGCAGCGCGCCACAACAAGATGTGGTGCGTCGCGACGATCGCGCTGCAACTTGGCGTGTCGCGCAAACACGAGGAATCTTGGAATATTATATTTTGATGCTTACGCATTTTCTGATGAAATTTATCCTTTGCTCGGATGTTTTATGTGTTTTAGACATTTTAGAACTTCCTAATGAGCTTGGATTAATCTGTGGGCAATTAATTATGGAATGAGCTTGGAAAATAAAAGGAAAGAATAAAATGAAAGGTTTGGGCTTTTAGTGTAAAGGAAAATGGGATAGGAAAATAAAATAATTTGGGTTTCCAAATAAAATTCAAGTGCTCCTTTGATCCATTATGCTATTCAAACCAAATGGCGATAAAAGGTTTTTATTCATCATCGGGTATTGGTCATAGAGACATTTTTTAGCTGTACACGTATCTTATTTACATGATATAAATAAGAGTATCATATCTTATTTACGTAATACAAACAAAGCATATTATATGATTCATATCTTATTATAAACAGGCATATCATATGATTCATATCTTATTGAAGGTGTTGTTGACAATATCTCTTGGACCTAATGTAGACCGTAACTTTTTTTCCTAGAGGATTAGGCTGTTTAAAAGCTTCGTCCATGGTGCTGTTAAACGTGTGAATGGTGTAATTATAGTTAACTTTTTAATAATCTTTGTTAAAAATAATATAAACATTAAGTTGCAGCAGCTTAGTACAAATACATGTTAAGAATATTTAGTTTCCATACAATTAATACGCATTTTTTCTCATACTCATTCCCTTACTACGTCATCATTCATGTCATTTTGTTTGTTCTCTATATTTTTAACCTGTGCATCAGTGCATTTCCTGTAATTATTTTTTAACGCTAGCCAATTTGGAATAATTATTATTCTATTGCATAATGTTTGAAATGGTTTTTGAATATATATATTAATGTGCACATCGCATGCAAGGAGAGCTACATGAATTTTATGTATATAACTAACCACAAAAGACTAAGAAATCGTTGCATAGGTTTGCAGCAACTATGGATATACCAAACAGACTCCGGCTCCACCATCATACTTTCTTGCAGATAGTTCAAATTCTCCAATCTCAAAACATTTAGACTCCTGTACAATAGAGGAAGTGCATATGGTATTGTGAAGCTGATTTCTTTACAAAATTTTAAGATTTTATATGATACAGATCATACAGTTAAGCAATTAGAAAGGTATAAAAAAAATGGAGACAGACCAGAATATACAAGAAGAATGCAGAAAAGAGATTAGAGAAGGAAAGAATATGCATTTGCCATTTAACTATAAAAAAAACAAAAGAAAAATCAGTATGAGAATGTCATCCATGATTCCTCTACTTCTTGTGGCACTGATAGTGTCATCCACGATTCCTCAACTGGTTGTGGCGATGTTATATAATGAAAGCTTTCGGTTTCAGGATAAGAGATGTTCTCAACTCTAGGAGGCATCAGTGAAGAACAACAATTCTGGCACACAAAAAGAGGGGGAACTGCTTCTGTATCCTCAATGCCTGTGCACCTTGTATGTTGCCATGCTTCACAGATGTCACATGACACCATTCTCTCTCCATCATCATCTGTTGCTCCACATGAACATCTGACTGTCCAATTGTCAGGTCCACCCTCATACCTGAACTCACTCTTCAAATCAATCCCGCTTCCTCTGACCCTAACTTCAGAACCTGATTGTACTGCGCCAAAGATTACTTCTTCGTCATGCAAACTCCCCAAGTCCTCAATTTCAGTCACCATATATTTCTCCATAATGCAGTAAGTGTCTCTCAAAGCATGTTGAACTGCTACCCTCAAGTCACCAAATGAAGCATGTAAAGGAAGAACAATTACTTCACCAAGAGAAAGATTCTTAGATAGTTCCATCTCTAACTCACTTGAAGTTGGCAGCACCTGGCATATGAATCTTAGTAATTGGTCGTCTTCATCTTTGAAAGGCCATTCCTTCATGAAGTGCTTGCTGTCTAGTAATACTCTAACAGACAAGCCCAAGATATTTGAATCAGACTGACCCAATATCACATGTTTGTATAAGATACATACATCTCGATAAATGTCAATTCCAGAGGCTTCAGTGAGTGCTAATACTGGTTCAACAGATGCTTTTTCTCTGCTAGGTTTCTTAGGAGGTGAAGCTTCACTAACTTCATGGATGGTGTACTCCAGAATCCTGTTCACTGGGTCAGTCCGACGTCGAACTATGTAATCACCCACAATCACATTATTCATGGATTTCAGGACATAATCAAGCAGTCCTGTATCTCCAATATGAGCTCTGGCAGCATCCCGGACTTCCTGTCTAGTCATTCCTTTCTTGGAGGACTTGTTTTCCCTATATTCCTTCAGGGCATTAACTATAACTTCAGCTGTGAATTCTAGTCTCCGTTTGGGCCATCTGCTATCCATGGTAGCTACCAGAGCTTGAAACTTCCTGCATTTCATCATTGGTTTTGCTCTTGTATTAAGTTGCCTCTTTGCCACGAAAATTTTTGGTGAGAACTTTTCGATTTGAGGTGGGGAGTCAGGCAACGCAGCATGGGCCAAGGCAACTTTTGTTTTAACTGGAGTTTTGGACTTCAGGGTCAGCATGAACTTGAGGAGATCTCTTAATGTGATGAGACGGGTCTCACTCAAATTTCTGTAGGAGTATATGATTTGTTTTACATGTGCTGACTTGTTTGATTTTGGGAGATTGCCAATCAGGTCATCCAGGTTAAGAGAGCTAAGAACCTCTACAGCTTTTTGGTGGTGGTGTGCTTTAACCCCAAAGCTGCCATGGGAGAATCTGTATCCCCATCTGCCAAACCATGGGTGTCCATATGCAACACTGTGGAGTATACGAAGATCCATTGACCTTTTTCTAGAGGTATCCTCCACTGAGATCTTTCTAAATAACAGAATGTTACCCACATCAGTTTGTGTTCTTTAATGTATCAATATTATAAGTCCAGCAAAAAGATAAGATATTCATTTTTTAATACCTTACATGCAGATTTGTACAGATCCGATCCCATAGATCCATTATCTCTCTTCCGCAAAGATACTTGGAGCCTCCTTCAATCCCATTGATGCATACTAGATGACCAAAGCCATTGCAATGAATCAGCCCATGCAGAAGATGTGTTTGAAGCTCAAAGACATCACTGTTGAGTGACTTGGTCCACTCCGAATCAAGGGGAATTATCACGTGATACTTCCTTTTTGACATATAGTGATGACTCCATCCTAAGTGAACAATTATCAGAGGAAACAGTTCCATTTACAAATTGTTAGATTCAGGAAACATCACTGTGTTTTAAATATTTATTGTTATTATTATTATTATTGTTTATCAAAAGAAAGATTCTAGTAGGATAAAATGAAATGCTGCATAAACATTTAAGATAAATTATCACTGTGTTTTAAATATTTATTGTTATAATTATTATTATTTATCACAAGGAAGATTCTAGTAGGATAAAATGAAATGCTGCATAAACATCTAAGATAAATTAGCAACATGGCAAGTTGGCAACAATGTTTCCAGAACTATATATACAAGTTAGCATTTCCAGTAGGCAAGACAAAAATCTAGTCATATTTCGATTAACACCTCATCTATTCCCAAGCTAGTAGGGTTAACAGTTCAATATGTTAATAGACTGGAATATGTAAACATCAGGAAAGAAACCAGACCACCCTATTTCCTAAGCTAATGTGCTATATCCCAAGTATGAGCTATGAATACAATTATAGGATCTGTCAGTGCAAATTTATTCTAGAGTCAAGCATAAACTAAGCTAAATAGTGATGATAAATATTGTTGAAAGATGATTCTTATTACAGCCTTCAAAAGAATGAAGAGTAATACCCACAACGTGAGGTTTAGCAATAACCTTCCCCCACCTCCCCGCCACCCCCTCCCCCCCCACCCACCCCCACCCGCCCCTCTACAACAGAAAAAGAATTATTAAAAAAACATTAAAACGTTCTCATTTAAATCAAGAAACTATGATCTTCATTCACTATGATCCTTAGAAACAGGATGCTATTAGCTTGGTTTATGACATAGTTAAAAAAACAGACCCTTTGAGTTCCTGGTATTCAACATTATAATTTATTCTTCAAGTCGAATGCAGCTCCTAATACACATCCCTATGCTAGAGAGTGAGTGGTAAGAATTCAAAATCAACATAGATCGGAAGTTAGAAGCAATTACAGTAACTCAAAAGCCAGAGATTTAGCTTGGGTTTCATTTGTCAGTCACATACTAGTTCTGTTGTTTGTTACACACTTAGCTTAGATGTTCTAGGGCCTAGGGACGTGTTATACTGAAAGCACGATTGTTGGATACATCCATCATTATTTGTCTGAGAGATTGGGAATACAGGACAGCGATAAAGAACTTGTTTCTTGTAGAAGGTACTCGATCGATTATTGTTTGAAAAGATAACATACCATAACACATTATGAGAATACTTTCTACAATCAGATCTTAATTTCATGCCATAACACAATATTGAACAATAATACAACTTGAACAAACTTTCTACAGGAAGAAAAAATCAAAGAACAGCCAAGCAGCTTCAAGAACAAGAATAAGCTGAAACAGTAAGTAGAAGAATCAAAACAAAAAACCCCTTCAAGATTCAGTGAGTCAAACCATTTCCATGTTTCATTAATCATCTTCACACAAACATATCAACAAACACTTGTTGTGCGCTACAGAAACTGAATTTTGCAGCATTCATAAACCAAAATTCAGCAAAAGTAATCAAAAACAACAGAAACCCAGATCAAGAAATCAACAAAACATCATTTCCAAGAAACAAATACAATTATAATCAATAACAAGATCAAGAAATTACCAGAACAACGACAATGATCACAGAAGGGCTGTTTAGAGTTCTTGACATTTTCTTCAATGGTATAAAGAGGAAGAACAACACCTCCACTTTCTTGAACAAGAAGAGTACACCAAACAAGCATAGAATCAATCTTGTAGTCTTCAATTTCAGCACATTCTTGAAGAAACACCCTAATATTATCTCGAAAAGCTCCAGTTGGTTTAATTGGGCAACCTGGATCGCAGAAAGTGTTAAGGCCAAAGAGTTTTGGGGCTCTCTTTCTCTTCCTACATGTCTTTAATATGGGAAGCGACATTGTTGAAGCTTGAAAGTTTAGCTTGTTTTCTGGGTTTATGTTCTGAAATTATGAGAGAAAGAAGAATGGAGGAGAGAGAAAGATATTGAGAGGTTTGATTTGTTGAGTTTGAGCGGGAAGGAAAAGAGTTTGTTACTTTGTTAGACTTTTTATTTTCTGTTACGAAGAATCTTAGCGTCTGTTTTTTTTTTTTTTTTTTTTTTTTTTTTTTGACGGGATCTTAGCGTCTGTTGAAGACATTGAATTGGTTAACTACTTTTTTCCAGGTTCGTTACAAGCTAATGAGAGAGGTGGTGCGAGTGTGAAAAATATTAATACTCCTATGCCTGCCTTACGTTTAGAGCTGTCAAAAGCTGACCTGACCCGAAAAATCGACCCGAATCCAATTATTTACCGACCGTTTAAACTCAAAAAAATAGTGATTTGAACCCGATATGACCAGACCTGAAATCAACCCCACACCCGAGTTAACCCGAGTATTTAAGACCCGAACCCGAACATGAACCGACCTGAAAATGACCCGACCTGAATATAACCCGTAAATTATTGACCTAAATCTAACCCGACCTGAACCAAAATTGACCCAAACCGTTTTAACCCGTCAAAACCCGAATTTAACCCAACCTGTTACTAACCCGACCTGTTACTATACCGACCCGAATTTAACTCGACATGTTACTAACCCGAGCCGAATTTTACCCGATCTATTACTAACCCAACCCGAAACTCAACCTGATCTGTTACTAACCGGACCTGAAATCAACACGACTTGTTATTGACCCGACCCAAATTCAACCCGAATTGTTCCTGACCTATTTCGAACTCAACCTAACTTGTTATTAACCTGCTCCGATTTCAAATAAAATAACTCGGGTATTTTATTTAAGCTTGTTTTGTCTTATCTAAACTTATTTGAACTTATTAACTCAAATATGAACTTATCTAAAATTGTGTTCCCTTAAATGAATAGAAGCATTGTGAATAGAATAGGGACTGAACTTATTTTAATTTATCTAAACTAAACCTATTTTATCCGAATTTATATGAACTTATTGTATTTTATGTAAACTTATTTGAACATGTTATCTCGAATATGAACTTATCTGAAATTGTTATCCCTAAAATGAGTGAAAACAATGCGAATAGATTAGAATAGGGTTTGAACTTATCTTCTAAAAACCTAAAATAAACCTATCTTACCGGAATTAATATGAACTTATTATGTATATCTTATCTTAACTTATTTGAACTAATTAGCTCGAATTTAAACTTATCCGAAATTATTTCTATTATAATAAATAAAGAAATTGATAATGATTAAACGTAAACGTCATTACATGAACTGTTAACAAACCAATCTAAAAAATGTACTCGAACCCGATATGACTCGACCTGATATCAACCCAAAACCCAGATTATCCTAATATTTGAGACCCGAACCTGAACATGACCTGACTTGGAAATGACCCGACCTGATTGTAACCCGCAAATTATTGACTTGAACCGAACCGGACTTGAACACGAGAATGACCCGACTTGGAAACGACCCGACTTGATAATAACCGCAAATTATTGACTTGAACCAAACCAGACTCAAACCCGAGAATGACTCGAACTGATTATAACCCGCAAATTATTAACATGAACCGAACCTGACTTGAACTCGAGAATGACCCTAACTCGTTTTAACCCGTGAAAACCCGAATTAAACCCGACCTATTATTCTCCCGACCCGAATGTAACCAGACCTGTTATTGATCCGACCTAAACCCGACCCAAACCCAATAAGATGTATGACCCGACTCAAGCATGACCCAACCTGACCCCCATAAGTTATGACATTAACCCGAATTGACTCGACCCGAGTTGACCCGACCCACACTTACCCGATCCAAACCTGACCCGTTTACCCGAATTGACAGGTCTTGTTACTTTTTAATTTTATTTTATGTATCTAGAAAATAATACGAACTGACTTAGTCTTTAAAAAATTGGCCTTATAAAAATAAAAACGACCTATAGATAATTCGAAAATAATATGACTTTTGGGAGCGACGACCCGTGACAATGTGCTCAAAATAAAACGTGATCAATTAGTAACCAGTTTAATAGGTTAAACAAGACACGTGTTGCAATGCAATTGGTTAAACTTTTTTTTTACAATTTTTTTTAAAAAAAATAATTTTTATGTGTTTTTAATACCCCAAACTCTCTCCTCCCTCCCATCCTCTCGTCAGCAACCTGAACCTTCCCATCCATTCCTCGTCAGCTAGCCCCACTCCTGCCTCCCGCGCACCACCACCTTATTTGAAATCTCCATGCCACCACCTCACCTCCCTTCCCCTCCACCTACTGCCGCAAATCCCCCACAAGGCACGACAACAACAACATTAACAACACCTCACTCAAATCTCCTGAATAAACCATCGCACCCATCACGCACTCCATCCTACATCCGCACCAAACACGTCAATCGGCACCACCAGCAGTACACGTCACTAATCCCACAACAATCAGTCGCTATTCTCCACCCTAGCTATATGACCACTACTGTTGAGGTAAATATTATTTTTTACTAACAAGTCAAATACCCTATCTTGTTCTAGAGTATTAAGGGGTTGTCCCTTTTGTTACTGGCTTCAAAAGATTGATAACCTTACTTACATAATAAAATAAACAATAAAGAAGTTTTACCAATGAAATTAAACAAGTTAGATTGCTAAGGAAACGAGTAGATAAACATATGACAAATTGATGCAAATGCTCTCCATTAATTGAAACATAAATTTAGACCTACCCAAAACCAAACCAAACCAAACCATTAATTGATGCAAATGCTCTCCATTAATTGTACAAGTTCGTAGACAACTAAAAATATCTACCCAAAACCAAACCCGATGATGAATAACCTTTTACTGCCATTATTGGTCGGGTTAAGTATTTAATCTCGGGAGTGCATAAATTCATTGTTCAGTCCAATACAGCTTACAAATCAGTCCACATTTCAGTCCAAAAATTTAGTTAAGCCTTGTCCAAACCTTATTATTAGCCCAAACCATTTTTAATTCATATCATTATTTATTAATTGAGCCCAATTAATAAAATTAAAAACCCCTAAACTTGAAAATGAGTCCGGAATGACAGAAACGACGCCTAATCTTGTGTTTTATTAAAAACAAGAAAAAAACGAATTTTAAAGAAGTTTCCAGAAATCCGAATTGCTACGCCACAACATATTTATCGTGCCACGACACATTTTTTACCCTATTTTATCTTTTTCACTCGTTTTCGTATTCAGAAATGATCAAAATTAGTACTGCGCCACGGTAACTATGCTTTGCCACGGTACCCAATGTCGTGATGCGATGCTCTTTTCTTCTGCGGCGCCTCATTTCTAGGGTTTTGGATCTCATCCCTCATTTCCCCTCTATATATACGAAGCTCATTTACAGTCTCGAGGCACGAATTCAGGTTCTCTTTCTCTCTTATGCTCTAGCCTTATACATTTGCCTTCCCAATCACACAATTCATCCTGTAAGCACTTCCCGGAGTCTGTACTTTATCCGAAGTTTCGTAGTTAAACCAAGGCGTGAACGATAGACCTTTTTGAGGGTTTGGCCCTAAATCAGCTTTACTTTCATTTAGTTTAATTTTCATTATTATTTATTAATTTCCTTGAAGTTATTACTAACATGTTTATTGTTTTATAGTTTCAAGCAAAAGCAAGCAAAGTAAGAATCATGTTTCTTTTGTTCTTATTATATTTCTAATGATTTATATTATTTCTGTCATATATTAATTGTTGGATTTATTATGGCTAAATTGCTTCCAATATTAATTCTTATTTCATATATTGATTGATCACCATATTGCATGTTAAAAGGGAGTATGTAATTGAAAATCACGACTAATAGATAATTTGGACCATCGATTTAGGTTCCTTTTTCATCTTGTTGTGATTCGAATTGATCACTAATGTTTAGAATTATGTGTGCATTTGTTGAGGTAATTATTTCTCTTTACCAACAAATTAAATACTCTATCTTGTTCTAGAGTATTAGGGGGCTGCCCCTCGAGTTACCGATTTCAAAGATTGATAACCTTGCTAACGTAAAACAAAACAATAAGGAAGCTTTTCCAAAAAAAGTAAAACAAGTTAGATTGCTTAAAGAAATGAGTAGATAAACGTATGACAAAAGATACAAATGCATTCCATTAATTAAAAGATAGAGTAAGGTCTACAATTGTACAAATTGAAGGAGAGGTTACCTCCATGGTTATTACAATTGGAAAAGACGAACGATTTTCAATACATGCTACTTGCTAAACTATACTATCGCTTGGCTACTAAGCCAAGGGAAACTACAAAAGCTAAGAAGAAAGCTTAAAAGAAATGAAATGCTTGTTGCAGATTGATTTGTTGCTGTCCTCTTTTGATCCTTGCACTTCTATTTATAGGAAAAATGGAGCGGTTATGGCTGACTCCCATAACCCTGGTTATCCTCTGAGGCCTAGCCTTGTTTTAATTAAAAAACAAAGCCGCAAAACTTAGCAAAATAGCAACCCCTTAATGGCCGAGTGCCTAGCATCCAAGTCAAGAGGCTAGGTGATTAGGGGATTTTTATCCACCAAGCGCCGTTTGACAAGTGGACCAACCAGGTTCCGCCACGCGTCCTCCACGGACCACTTAAGACACGCCACGTGTCCACCCATGCCAAATGGGACAACCGGCCGTCAAGGCCCATTTCAGTCTAGAAGCCCGATCGGCCCTAGGTTTACCTTAAACCTAGAGAGTTGCACGCTTCCCAAGGCTATAAATACTCGATTAATCCTCATTAATCAAGGGACGGAATAATTAACGGAACGGAGGAGAAACATTACGGAACACACTAATAACCGGCTGATCTCGCTAGCAAAGCAGATTACCTACATTAAATACTCTCACCTAGAGAGACCTTATTACTTTAATTTCTGTATTAATTACTCCTTAATCAGGTACTAACTTGACCGTTGGAGGCGGAGCTCTCAGGAGTCTCCGTTATTTTGCAGGTACAGGCGTCCGGTTCCAGTCTCGGAATTGTAGCTCTCCCGCAGGACATCAGAAAACCCCAAAACATTTGGCGCCGTCTGTGGGGAGAGTACTTCAGAGATGGCATCCAAGTCTGTACCGACCCCAGAAGAGAGGCGTCCCCTAGACGACCCTCAAGTTCAGTCGGACCATGATACCGAAAGTGAATTTGAAGTTGAAACTCATACAGCTCCAGACGGGACCCTAAGGGCCCGCCGTACCCGTCATACTGAAATAAGGGAACGGGAGTATCTTCAAACAGGAAGCGAGCCAGCAGGCGCACCGCTTGCTCGGCAACAGCCGACTGATGGGTCTGCTCCCATCACAAGGAACGAACTCATGACCTTCATGAGGGGATTCAAGGGAGAGATCCAAGAGTTGATCAACAAAAAACCGCCTGCTTCAGTCAAAGAGCAGGCGGCCAAAAAACCTTACACTTCACTGAAGAGGAAGCCAGTTCAAGGGCGAGAGGCGACT